GACTCCGAGCATCGGAGGCAATGATGAGGGGATATTTCTGCCGAAGCGTTCCAATCTAGGGTTCCCTCCTGCAGGAGCCCTAAAGAGCAGGATGCCGGCATGCGCAGCTGCCATAGCGTTTAGGCACAATTCCCTTGCTGAGCTTTGACCTACTCGAAGTCCAGATGGGATGCTTTCCGCTGGGGAGTGGGTTTCCTGCTATGCTGGGACAGCCGCGAGTTTTGTGCGCTTTGCTGGCCGCCCAAAGGGATTGGACAAGGCAGAGAGCAACAATTATTTGGGGCATGAATGTGCAAATAGGCGATCCTCTCCATCCAGAACGATCAGAAATCGGCGCCGTGCCTTGCGCATGAAGCTGTGTAGAGGCATTCGTGTCTTGCTCCAGTCTGTCAAGAGGCCAAATGGACCAGCTGCGGCTCAGGAAGCCTCAGCAGCTGTGGCAACCCTTGCTTCGGGAGGCTATACAGCCTTCTTGTCAGAGCTTGTGGGGCACTCTGACCTTCCGCTGGCCATAGCAGCGCGCACCGTGCTTGCGGATGATGGGAAGTTAGCATCTTCGAGGCAAGACCTTTTTCCGTTGCCTAGCATTTCCAGGTGGCCTGAGGCAGTGGATATCAAGGGCCTTGGTCAAGACAGTGCCCTCGCTTGCGCTAACGTGTGTGTAGTGGCCCTTAACCACCTGGAAAAAGGGATGCAAAGCACTCCTGCCGGCACCCCCAGAACTGCTGGCACTTCAGCGCAGGCGATGGTACATCAGCACATATGCGGCAGAGTCGTCCGTTTCCTGGGCCGTCTCAATGACACGCTTGGGAGCTCCTTCTGCTACAAAGGTGCTTTTGACAAGCACGAGAGAGCTACGAAGGGTTCGGCTTGTGAACCAGTCCGTGGTGATGCCGTCGATTTGCCGGACAAAGCAGCTTCCTGTGATCCATCGACTTTAGTGGACCCGGATTTGTGGCAGGCTGTTCGTCAAGCTGAGTGTGTTTTTCCTGGTGTTTCTGCTGGCGAGACCTTTGGTTTTCCATGCAGCTTGGGCAGCGAACGCAGGGAGTACATCAAACTGACTTGTCGTGAGCTCAGATGCGGCAAGCTGCGTTTGAGGCGACAAGTGCAGGGAGTGGCTAAAGTTTTCGCAGTGCCAAAGTCATCCAAAGGGCGGCAGCTGGGATGGGTCATGGCTTTCTGAGCAAGCGGCCCGGCCGCCAAAGCCTCAGAGGCTTGCAAACCCGAGCTCTTTCGTGGACATTCTGGTGGGCCCGTGCGAGAAGCTTTACATGTCAAAGCGTGATGCGTCAACGTATTTTGACAACTTGACAGTACCTTCTGAGCTCCGCCCATGGTTCGGACAGGAGCCTGTCATGCTTGATGAGCTGGTTTCTTTCGGCAAATTCAGCTTGAGCGAAGTCAGAGAGTTCATTGACGATAGTCACGCTGGCGACATGCTTGTCAACAGTACGCCCCTTTTTGGCCTATGGGTTTTAGCTGGTCATCTTGCGTTGCTCAGTCAAACGCGATCGGAGTTCTCAAGAAGGCAGGCATTCGTGTAGACAGCATTCTCAGCTTGGATCACGCGCTTCCTGTTTCCCAAAGAGAACTGTGTGCAGTAGCTACGGATGACACGCTGCTTTTCCACCGCAACCTCAGACGTGGAATGCAGACCCTAAGGAGGGTGGACCAAGCTTTTGAGAGGCACGGCATCCCCAAAAACAAGGCAAAGGATGTCACCCTTGCAAGCACAATGACGGGCCTGGGCTGTGACATGTCCAGCGAACCACCGTTGGTGGAACCAGCCAAAGATAAATTGGTGCAGCTTCTTCTGGCGGTGTGTGACTTATTGGAACGCAAAGCTGGCAGCCCTCAGGCAGTGAACAGTGCACTTGGCGTTTTGCAATGGTTCTACCTGCTGCAAAGGGGCATGTTCAGCATTCTGGACCGCGTCTACAATTTTGTTCAACAGGAACCAGCCAATGATCCGCGGCCATTGCCGTGCAACCTCCAAGATGAGTTGCTCACCGCAATTGCTTTGGCTCCACTTTTGCCAGCTGCGCTGGATCGCGCCTACTTGCCTGAGCTTTTGGCGTGCGATGCGGCCCCTGAATATGGTTTTGGAGTTAGCAAGTTGGAGTGTGGACAAAAGCAGGTGGAACAGGTAGGACGTCTCTCTGAGAGAAGGGGCGACTACGTACGATTGCTGCTTGGTGCCGGGGATGAACCTGAGCTCACTCGCTGTGGCACACCACACAGGCTGCCTTTCAAGAAGTCTGCTTTCAGAACGCTCATCCGCAGCAAGGCGCGGTGGCAAGCTCACTCAGGCTTGCTGGAATGCCATGGTGTGCTTCTGACTGTAAAGTGGATATGTCGCAGCCGAGCTCGTCACCACAAACGAGCAGTCATCTTGGTGGATGCCAAGACTGCCTTGGGAAGCATCTCCAAAGGTAGAAGCTCTGCTCGAGCACTTCGCAGAGTTTTGCGCAGCACAGCTGCGCATTGCCTTGCTGCTGACGTGTTGCTCAGGCTGGTGTACATTCCCACTGAGTCCAACCCTGCTGATGCTCCCTCTAGGGGGCGCGTGAGAGGATGCAACATGCGAAAACCCAGATCAAAATTCATGCATGCTGACGGCCACTGACGCCCTCGATTGCATTACCGGGCTGTGAGCGAGCAGTGGCTCACTTCTGGTTTGCCTCTGTCTTCGACAGGCTGTGGACGGAGCCTGCAGCTGTGATGCAATTGACTAGGGCCTACGATCTGCGTCCATTCGTAGCAGTCTGTTGTTTTTGTTCTCCTTCCTGAAAGACCTGAGCACCAATTGAGGGTGCGCATTCATTTTTGCGGCCGCTTCTTGAGATTGCGTTCAGTGCGGGAGAGTGGGCCTTTTGAAGTTGCATGGGCCTAGAGCCTGTGCAGCACAAGCTCCCGGATCAATCTCTAACCTGCAGTGGCCTGAAGCTTGAAAACCGCCAGCTCGTTTTCCTTCAACACGAGTCAGCAAATGCAGGCAAGCTGTACAGCAGCAATGAGGGGATATTTCTGCTGAAACGTTCCAATCTAGGGTTCCCTCCTGCAGAAGCCCTAAAGAGCAGCATGCCGGCATGCATGCGCAGCTGCCATAGCGTTTAGGCACAATTCCCTTGCTGAGCTTTGACCTACTCGAAGTCCAGATGGGATGCCCCACCCCCCCTTTGTTTGTTTTCCCTGGCATCCCATCTTCCACGGGCCTTTTGAAGTTGCATGGGCCTAGAGCCTGTGCAGCACAAGCTCCCGGATCAATCTCTAACCTGCAGTGGCCTGAAGCTTGAAAACCGCCAGCTCGTTTTCCTTCAACACGAGTCAGCAAATGCAGGCAAGCTGTACAGCAGCAGAGGCCCAGCTCAGCAGCCTGT